GAAAGAGTGCTAAGATTCTGAAGAAAAACTCTACGAATTGTCTTGCGACGAGCTGTCCTGCGACGAATTATACTAGTACCGAATGAATGACCTAAATTTATTCAATGTTACACTAAAAAGAGAGGTACTCGCACGTTGATCGAGCTGATTGGCTGTTTACAGGCGTACTACTTCACTCAGAAAAAAAAACACAAATAAAAAATATTACTATGATATATGCGAATGCACTCTTCAAGTAGCTTATAACTACAAATAACATATCGAGACTTCTCAAATTACTGCTGTGTGGTATTGTAAGAAAGACGCTTCAAAACGTTTTTTATATTTTGTCGTTTAATGCGAAATAACTTTGTAGACATTTGATTCAAATCATTCTTTTTGTTTCATCCTTATCTGTTCTGGTTGGTTGCTTTTCAGTGAAGCAACTATCTTGTGAAATATAATGATTGACATTTTCTCTTATAAAATCGTTTTTCCGCGAACACAGACAATGATTGTATGTCTGTCTGGGACAGTAATTCATACTTGCTTGAAACGCGTTCATGGTCGAGTCATAAAGTTGATGAAGTGCTTGCATTGATTCGTGAAATTAGACATGTTTCGGAATGATAATTTTTAAATGATTTTGTTGTTAAATATCTTTGATTAGAGAAAGTAATAGAACAGGTGCGCCAGGTTAAATGAACGCACTTTATATTTCCGTTTTCCTGAACTCAATGTATATTGTATTGAAAAAACAAAGCATACAACAAGACGCAGCGTAAAATGCTCTACAATTTACGATAGACAATTTATTTAATAGTTTCATCTTTTGTTTTCGTAAGGAATAAAATTCTGAGTGATCAGATTTCAACAGTTGAGACAGTGGTAGCCTCAAATCTTACTTTTTTTCCGAAAGAAATAAATGCACAATTCAAAATTAGCTTCAGTGTGTAGATGATACAGCTTTTCACGCTATATCTTGTAATGTAATTAGTTTTAAAACAATATATTTAATGAATGAACAATGAAATGCAAAGTGCGGCTATTCAACCTGGCGCATTCATTATCAAAGATATCTTGATCGATAGTCGATCACTGTAATATATCTTACCTAATTTTATCACAATGAAATTTCTTATTAAGTTTTCAATCATTAAATTATTTGCTCTAGCTCATAGTTCATTGTAAGTTAACAATGATCACTTCAATTACGTTATAAGCATCCCAATTGAATGTCAATCATTCAATGAAAGATGTCAAGATCCTTATGAATATTGTCACACATAATTAATTTCCAGCAGCATATATGTATAGTGATTGCTTTCAGTAAATATTCGCTTTATAATGATTGTTTTATTAGCAGGATTATGAAGAAGAATTTCACAAGATCTCATCATCGTGTAGAGAAGTGAGGCTTTTTGTGGAACTCACATATATTTTTGAAAAAAATAGTAAATGTAAGCTTTAAGTTCAAGTTTTGGCGGTTTCCACCTCTTCTCCACCTTGTCCATTACAGACCATAGTAACTCCACCAAAAACAAAAGGAAAATCTTTCTGTTCGAAATATAGAAATAAAAAAGACAGCATTTGCTAGCTATTGACTATCATGAGAAAAGAAATAAAGAAAATATGTGAGTACCGCATTTCAGCTCCGAAGAAGCTGCACTAACAAGCTTTTTTTGTTTCACATATCTTCGCAATAATGACGATTTCTGAAAGTAGTTGACAAAAGCTAAAAACATAATATTGTCTTTTTCTTTATCGATAAGTCTTTCTTTCGTGATGGAAGTGAGTTTCGATGGAAAAAAAACGAATCATTTTTTTCTACCTTGACATTCTTTCATTCAAAACATGACAAATATTATTTCATACTTTTATTTTATAGATTTTACTGTTAAATATTTTTCATATTGCTAGTATATAAGGTACGTCTTAGTCTTTTTTTTCATTGTCTTTTGCATCTAATTGCAATATCTTATTCGAAAATCAAAAACCAAAAATCCATGGGTACATTAGAAGAAAATCAATATGTACGTGAGGGTCGCGTTCATGTTCAACTCGATATTGCTCGTACTTATGATGATAAACATATGATTAAACTTGCTGCTCACGAATTTATTGTTTATTCCAATGTTTTCAGTCTTGCAGTATTTCCTCTATACGATACTATTGTCAAAACATGGCTTCATCTCATTCGAACAATAAAACCTGAATCAGTATTGGAAATTGGTTGTGGAGCTGGTTATTTGGCTATTCTTGCTGCTCTTAATGGTGCTAATCGTGTCACAGCTACTGATAGAACAGAAGATGCTGTGAATAATATTCAGGCTAGCATTGAAAAGTATAATTTAGGAGATCAAATGCGAGCTGTTTATGGTAGTGGTTTTGAACCATTTGATAAAAATGATCAATTTGATGTTATTTTTTGGAATATACCATTAAGTCATATTGACAAACTCATGGAAAAACTCAATACACTTGAACGTACGGTTTTCGATTCAGGCAATGTACTTTGTGAGGCATATTTAAAAGATGCTCGAGAACATTTAACGGATACTGGTCGACTTTTTATGACTTTTCTCATAGGTTCGGTCATCCAGAAAAATTATCAGAGCTGATCAACAAATATGGCTGGCGTTTGCAATTGGTGCCAAATCCTGAATAAACAACATCGAATTGTGAAGGCATGTACGATAATAACGTGGATATTAACATGTATGAATTAATCAAATTGTGATCGATGCGATAGAAAAATACTAAGTTTTGTGCATGTTTTTGTTTAATGACTAAAAATGGGTCTGATCTAATTGATTACTCTTTTCATTTGATTTAGGGAGTGAACTGAGTGTAGGTTAACGAAAGGCATGCATTCATGTTTACACTCTTGTTTCGAAATAAAATGCTACATGGAAAAGAAAAGTTATGTGCATTCTTTCAAATGTCTGCCATCGATATAGATCAATGCATTATCCATTGTTTTGCTAAGGGATGTTGAGCGAAATCATGGGCTTTTACTATATTTTTTTGACACCGTTGTCGATCTTGTCACAAAAATCCATGATCCATTGAGACAAGTTCAAATTGAAATAGATAAATATCTGCATTTTCTTTTACTCTGAAAAGCGATTCGTCTGTCAAAGAACTACTAAACTCATAATGACTTCAAATGAATTACCTAGGGTGTGTGGTGCGGGTATGAGATGTAGGTGTGAAACAGAAGAAGGCACCTACACCCACACCCACCCAACCAGCAAAGATTTATTTGTTAATGGATCGAAAAAATGTTTGAATAATTACTTCTACCCGAGAATCACAATAATAAATATTTTGGAGTGATCTTTAATAATGATTGAGACCAATTGTTATGAGAAAAATAAAGTTTGCTAAAAAAAGCAAACCGGTGCATTGACTGACTAGTTAATGCAGTCCTTCGGATGTTTTTTTCCTTTCATTCTCTTTCGATGTTGGCATCAGAATTTGCCATTTTTTTGTCAATGCTGTTTTCAAAAAGTGATAGTCAGAAAATATTCGTTCGAACACAAGAATAGAATCTCATGATTGAATCAAGAATATTTACTTTGTGATATTTAATATGACGCTCTATTTTCTATAACAAAAGTTAATCATCACTCTCTTTGCTTTCAGCTTAGACAGATGTGAGTACGGCTGATGATATTTAATGGACCAGAGAGAGAATGAGAATCAATCGTTCAATCAAAAGCATTCTTGAAAGTCATGCTTATATCTATTAAAACAGTTCTTTTAGTATTGATTTTCACACTGTCTAATCACAGTTTCTTTCTAATTTCGATCAGCTGATTAGTTGACGCGTACCTTTTGCAATGTACAGCAACAATAACGTCCAATGATACAGAAAAATCATCTATTTTACTATAAATCATGATCATAATTGAATTCGCACTTGAATCGATTTCATGTTCAAATTAACCAATATGCCTCCTTGCTTTTCGAAAAATTCTTCACACTGTCAGAGTTTGAATATGACAGCTAAATATCGTATTGTTCGAGCAGATCTACAAAACTTTCACCGGAATGCTTGAATTGCAGTTAGGTTCAAATCCAAACCTTTCTGGTGGTGTCCTTCCTTTGTGGTAAGCCTTGTACTTCAATTAATATTGAAGAGAATAGTTGAACAAGTTTTAGATTAAGAAATATAATGCAGAATTAGTCTTCTTTGCTGCTTTCTTATCTGAAGTCAAACGATTGCAAAAAAAACAATATCTGTACGTCATCAACCACAAAATCTCATAAATGAGCTTAAACCTAAAAATTGTCATCTTTATTTCTCTTTGTAGAACTAAGAGAAATAAAAATGACGATAGAATGGTGGTCTAATTCGACGTTTCTTCATCAAGTTCTTACTATTGATGTTCCATAACCAGAAGTTTATTTGTAGTTTTTAGAAAATGTATTGGAGTTGTTCACTTACAT